ATCAAAAGTCTTACACACAACCATAATAATGGATGCCTCATTTTCTTATTTTAGGGTTCAGGCCTTGGGACTTTCTCAATAACATTATATAGAAATAAAGAACAGCCATCCTGATAACATATGTGAATTTAGGACATTCTGATTTTAGCACAAAACTGAGTTTTCATCTAACATTTTATGTAAAGTAATCATAAACTATATTTTTTTGTCTTTTTAAGCTAAAGTCTCACTATGCTGTTTAGGCTCACCTGGAGCTCATTTTGTAGCCCATGCCGGTCTCAAACTTGCAATGATCCTCTTGCCTCAATCTCCTGAGTGCTGGGATTATAGGCATGTCCATCACACCACGCTCATAAACTGTATTTTGCTGGTACATTTTGACATGTACTCCTACATGCTTAAAAAACTATTTTCATTTAATTTTTTTATTATTTATTTATGTATTTTTTAATATTTTCATTTAAGTTATAGAAAGTTAACTCCAGGGTCAATAGTATTAATCAAGATACAAAGACTGAATGTGTCTGTGTACCTAGAGTAAAAAGAAGCAGACAGACTATAAAATCAACATTTTGGCTGGGTGTGGTGATACATGCCTGTAATCCCCGCACTTGGGAAGCTGAGGCAGGAAGATTGCCACAAGTTCAAGACCAGTCTGGGACACACAGTGAGTGTACGGCCAGTTTGAACTAAGTAGTGAGACCCTTTTTCAAAAAAAAGGTCAACTTTTAAAATTCATAGCTTTCCTATACATCAAAACTTAACTATCTGAGAAAAAATTCAGGAAAAGAAGTCCATCAAATAGTTTAAAAATACTTAAGAATCGTCTTAATCAAGGAGGAGAGAAATCTGTGCAGTGAAAATTACAGATCACCAAAGAATGAAATTAAAGACGTGGCAGACAGAAAGATTTCCCATGTTCACGGATCGGCAGACTCACTATGGTTAAAATAGTCACATTAACAGAAGCGATCTACAGGTTCAGTGCAATCTTCATCAAATATCAATGATACCATTCACAGCACTACAAAAAGAAAAAGTCTTAAAATTCTTGTGCAAACATAAAACCCTAAACAAAAACAGCAGTGCTGGAGACATCACAATATCTAATTTCAAAATATACTATAAAGCCATAGTAGCAAAAGCAACACGGCTATGGCACAAGAAGAGACACAAGGACAGGATCGTTTATGTAATGGTGCTGGAGAAATTGGATAGTTATACGCAGAAGATCGAAACTGAGCCCCTATCACTTGCCTTATACAAAAATCTATTTATTTATTATTTTATTTAGAATGTAGTAAAAACACCACAGTACAAGATAACACAAAGCCAATCAAGACAATGTAGTGACATTGGTACAGAACGTCCCAGCTGGATACTTCAATAATAATAATAGGTACTATAGTATATCTCATTATCTTCACAATAGTTGTCCAGTCAGTTAGGGATAGTGAAATCAAACCAGTAACAGACCATTATAAAATCAATTGAAAGAGTATTGAATAGAGCAAAACAAACATAACAAAACAAAACAATGAAAATAACCTTTGCCTTCAAACAGAACAAAGAAGGAAATCCCCTATTTTCTATGTTGCATATGGTCATCCTTCCAAGAGATGCTCAGAACTCTGTCCCCGGTTGCTGATGGGGTGGGGTGGGGGAGATGTTTGAGTCTCACCTCCTTAGCCAGCAGGCTCACAGGAACAGCTGACTGATTCTCCTTTGGGCTGGCACGAGGGGCACTTACCAAGAGGGCGGGCAAATTGCCTTCTTGTGTAGTTGCCTAAGTCCCACCATGGCCAGGTCTCCGGTAGCTACTGGTTCTCCTCCTGGCCAGCGCCAGGGGTGCTTACCAAGAGGGCAGGCCACAAAAATCAATTTAAAGTGGACCAAAAACATAGGTAAAAGACCTGAAAATTTGCTAGAAGGCAACATGGGGGAAACACTTGAAACCATAGGCACAGGCAAAGACTTCCTGCACAAGGCTCCAATCTCACCATAAATAACAACAAGAATCACCAAGAACTACATCACACTGAAAAATTTCTGCACAGTAAGGGAAACAACCAAAAAAAGGAGCTATCCTACAGGTGGGATGAAAATCCTTGTCCGCTACTCTTCTTACTGAAGATTGATATACATAAGCACCAGAAAAACTACATAGAAAATCAAATACCACAATCAATAAATGGGCAAGTGAATTGAACAGACACTTCTCAAATGCAAATTAAAACAATGCTAAGATTCCATCTTATACCAGAAAGAATAACAAATGCTGGCATGGCTGTCATGAGAAAGGAACCTTCCTACACTGCTGATGGGAAAGTAAACTAGTACAATCGTTATGGAAATCAGAATGGAAATTTCTCAAAGAACTAAAATTAGAATCCACATGGCACAAATACTCCCCTTCTAGATATTTTCCCCAAAGAGCTAAAGACATCATACTGCAGTGAGACATGCATACCGATGTTTATAATAGCACAACTTATAATACTAATTATTAGTAGTACTATTTTAGTACTGGGGATCAAACTCATGACCTCATGCTTGCCAGGTCGGTGCTTATGCCTCTCAGTGAAATCTCCAGCAATAGCACAATTTATAACTGTTGAATCTGGAAGCAGCCAGTATACCTTCCAGTTGATCAATGCATAAAGAAAAAGGTGGTATCAGTACCTTGATGAAATACTACTCAGCTATAAAGAAGGATAAATTTGAGATATTTGCCGGAAAATGGAGGCATTTGGAAAACATAATATTGAGAGAAATAAACCAGGCACATGAGTTGAGTTCAAATATCATGTTATCTCTCATTTGAGTAAGGCAAAGTACAAACAAGAATCATATCAAAGGATGAATATAAGGAAGCAGGGGGATAGATTGCTTTAAAGTTGGAAGGGTGCGGGAGGCTGAGAGTGAGGGAGGGGAAAGGGGATAAGTAGAATGCAGGTGTGCATCATGAGCTAAGAGTAATAACAAGAAAGAACGAAAATGGGGAAAAGGGGTTCGAGGTGGAGGGAAGGAGCTGGGTGCAGAGGGGATTAAAAAAGAAGCGAAATGTGTTAGGTGCATGCACCCAACCCCTAAGGGGAATGTAAACTTCATCTTCTGTGAACATACACTCATAAAATAAAATTACATGATAGTAATTCTTTATATTATAAAAAAGAGGAAGCACAAGTGGTCAGTAAATATAGGCAAAATGTTCACCATCTTGGGCTACTAGAGAAAGGCAAATCTCACCCCGTGCAGAAGGTGATCATCAAGAGTATGCACAATAATAATGCTAGTGAGGATGTAGGAGTTGGGGAAGGAATCCTTTCGTACCGTGGGTGGAATGTAAACCAGGACAGGTGCTTTGCTAATCCGCATGGAGGCTCTTAGGGAATATAACAATAGAGTGACCATGTGATCAGACAGACCACTGCTTGGTGTGGATCTAGTCTGCACCGTATAGGGCTAGCTGCATAGCCATGGTTATTGCAGCATAATTCACCTTAGCCAAGAAAATGGAACAAGGCTAGGTGTTCGTCAACAATCTAGATTAGCACTCAGTCACAAAGAAAGACAAAGTCTCTTTTGCAGGAAAATGGACGGAATGGCAGATCATTATGCTAAGCAAAATAAGCTAGACTCAGAAAGACAAGTGTCAGATGTTTTCCTAATTTGTGGAATCTAAAAAAGATCACATGGAAGTAGAAGGAAGACTATTTGAGAAAAGAATAGGAAAAGGGTGGAGGAGGTATAAGGATGGGCAACAGGGGGGATGAATATGATCGAAGTATACGCGTGTTTATAAATACCACACCGAAACCCAGTATTTTGTAAAATTAATAAATAAACATCAAAAGAGGCAGGTACATGCTTGTGGATATTTTGCTGTGGGTAACTATACAATTGGATTGTCCTGCTCACTGGTCTTGGCTGGGCCTGGAGTCCTCTTTGGAATGCAGGGGAAAGGCAGATGAAGAGCAGAGGGCCCGGTGCCTCCAGGGTCCTCTGGACTCATTCTCTTTCTTATTTTCCAGAACCTCTTCATCAAGGACTTTGCAGCGCACCCTCCACTCCCCTGCAGAATTTGCTTATCTTCAGATCTCAGATCTCTGAGAAGGGCTGGTAGAGTAGATTGGTAATTTGAAGAATCTTTCCCTTAAAAATATACTCAGAAATGTAAAAATCAGTTGTCTGAATCCTGATTCTGAATCTTTGAGTTAAAACAATGTTTATTTTGTTTTATAACTAGACCTCAGAAAAGGAAATACATATTTCCTTAGAAACTCTTTCTGGAATTCAAAATTGTACATCACTTGAAATAATCATTTATTAAAAGTGCAATTTACATGCAATGCACTGTATTGGATTTTATTCATATATGCAGGGAAAAGGACTTCTATTTTCCATAAAGTTTTGATTTTTTTTCTAAGTGGTAATGATATACACAATCTTGACAAAAGAAACATTTTAAACTGATGAAAATTGCTTTTAGGTGTCAATTTTCTTAAAAGATTGTGTTTCCCTAAACAAATAATCAGTACTCCAAATTTCTGTGAAATATTTTTCTCTTTAGAGAGAGAAGGAGAGAGAGATAAGGGGAAAGGCAGATTAACACAAAATTTAGGACCACGATATCCCTGAAGGGAGAGATGGGACAATGGGCAAGATCACTCAGTAATGTTTTATTTCTTAAATTGGGAATGGGCTACATAGACGTGCAGTTTGCTTATTTATTTAATTGCTTGCATTGCCACGTGTATGCCACACATTTTTGTGTTCATTTAATATTTAATAAAATTGTTTAAAGAAATAGTAAGACTATAAATAATGATGGTGAAAACATTATTTTAAAAATATATGACCTAAGGAATTAAGCAAATGATTTTCTCAAAGGGTCCTGAGTTTTCTTTTCTAGTCTACTAAATAAGAGAGTCAAAAACAGAAAGAAAAAGACCGAGGTTAAATCCTGCAGGGCCTCCTTGTCCGGGAGGGGCCGGCTACGCAGCAAGCAGGACGTCAAGCCAGCGTTACGTGGGAAGAGTTTGCTGACCATGGCCACAGAGGACAGCTTTGGGTGCCTGCTACGCTGGGCTGCTTCCAGGGCTCCAATCAAAGCCCAAGAGGTCAGTGCCAGGACGTTCAAACATTTGTTCTCGACTTCCAGATGATATTCATGACATCGTTTTCTTTCAGAATTGTAGATTAATATTTGCATGTCAATAAAGACTAGTATAAGACCTGAGTTGATGAGGAGCTGGTTCCATTCTTCGAAAATAAAAATGTTCAGTGAAGGCTCTCGGAAGCTTACTCCTCAGGAATTCAGCTTGTGTGCATTATTGTGCTTTTGCTTCTATTCTTGCTGTTCAATCTTTGTTTTTCTTTTGGCAACTCCTCCACTCCGAATAGTTGAAAACATGCTTTAGGCTTTATTATGAAGTAGGATTCTAATTCCTGCTGAATTAAAAGTAAACTACATGCCCTGGGTACTTTCATGAGTTTAGGTCTCTTAAAGCTGAAATGGAGTTGAATCAGTAGCCTAAAGGTGAAGCCTCTAAATCCCTTTATTATCCAAACTCCTATAATCTCTTTGTTTTAACCCAGTATGCACAAGAATGGCCCACAACTTCCTAGTTAACATGTCAAGAAGTCTCAGATAAGCATCGGGCTCTTTGGGTTTACTCTCTACACAAAATGCTTCAAACCTAAAGTGATCCTTTAGATGTTGTTTATTTTGATGACCAGATAGATTCCTTTGTTTTGTGAAAGCCATATGACTATTTTGCCTTCTCAGGGAATTTTTATTCTAGCACCCTATCATTATGTGCTACCAAACTTCATATATTTTGCTTGAAGTACCTAAAAATAAAAATGTTTAATTTTTCTCTTGAGTTTAATTTGTTTAATTTTCTCTTGAGTTTAATTTGGCAATTATCAAATCACATTTGTCAATACAACAGTTGAATCAGATGTGACCCAGACATCAACATTTTAAAAAAGTCTCTGTAGCTTTCTCTATTATTTCAAGTTAGAGTAGCTACAAGCAAAATCTTGACTGGATCAATAAGTACCAAAAATGGACTCTGTCATTGAGTCATGTATTAACTCAAATATGATATTCAACTCTGTCAGAATACAAATATAACAGCATGATGAGGCTTGTGTTTAGAAATGCAAAGAGTGTTTTGGAAGTATTTTAAGAAGAATTATTCTAATTTTAACTATTAACATTTTTTCCATCTTTAGATGTTCATTCTTGGACATGTAGGTGCCATAAAAATATTTAATATTTATAATTTCTTCTTTCTTTCTTTCTTTCTTTCTTTCTTTCTTTCTTTCCTTCCTCTTTTTCCTTTCCTTTCCTTTCTTTTTCTTTCCTTTCTCTCTTTCTCCTTCCCTTCTCTCCCTTTCATTTGAGTCTTGAGTTCCCTTGTTATACAGCAAAACACATCTCAGAGAACCAGATTTTTCCTCATGCCCAAGAAACTGTATATGAATATTGAAATAATATAGAGAACCTAGGAAGAATAACCTTAAAATAATGATAGAGTAATTCATATTTAATTATATTCTTGGTAAGAACATAGCATATTATTAATGATTGCTTGTTTACCACTCAGAAACCATACTGATTTTTGGCAAATGAATTTTATGCTGTGCTTTGAAATTATGCTTAGCTGTTCGTAACTATGGAAAAGGTCCTAGCAATATTGCCTTGTCTGTTACGCTGGAAGGTGATTTTTAAAGCTACATAAAAACATATAAGATGGTTAATTAATAACATTCATTTTTACTGAAGATTCCAAACACCAGAAAAGAGTATGGAAAGTTTGAATATCTGCATATGGCTGGAACCCACAGTTGTTTTCACCATCATTGTAAGGAATACCATGCATCTTATATGTCTTGTATCCTATGTACAGAAAGTGACATCTACTGGAGAAAGCAGAACTGAATATTTACTTCCCAAACTCTTTTTTTTCTGCTAAACTTCCAGACAGGCTGTACTATTCTCAAGACTGTTCAAATTTGTTGAAACAAAGGAGGATTTTACTTACTTCAGCGTGGTGTCAAGCCTGTTTATTTAGGTGATTATTTTTGTCAAAGGCGTCCTGCGGAATAGAGGAGTTACAGGGCCAACACCAGCGACGTCATAAGAAATGCTGTTGGAGACTTCTGGAAAACAAGGATAGAGCATTCAGTTACGGAAGAAACTGAGCTTCTAAATAACTCTGAGCCATGGAGCGGTGGATTTGAACAGGACTCGAGTAATAGTCTGAAAATGAGTTGAAAAAATGTGTAACTACTTTAAATGACTTCAAAATAGGAACCATGAAACAAAGTATGGATAAGAATACACAATTTCCCTGTGATGAAAGGCATCCCCATACTGCTGTGTAGTCTGGTCATTTTTATTCATGTTAATCAAATATGAGTTAACTTTACAGTCCAATTACAGTGTACACACTGAACTGGGGATGGCACCCAGCTGATTTTCAGCTGTGGTCAAAACCAAGAAGTACGCAACCACTGAGAGACAGAAATGACATCATTTTCATTCTTGGAACAAATATTGACATAGTTTGAATAATCACCCCTTAAGAAGGAAAGCATTTTCTCATTTTGGTGAAAGTTTCTGTGATAGGTATTCTCAAGACTTAAATAGTGGGGCACCATTACACTCAGCTGGTCAGGAAACTTGAGAAGATTTTGAAGATTGGAATTCGGACTAACAGTCCTGATCTTCTGTTTGTTCTGTTTCCTAAATGGCACCTTCAAGGCTGTTTGCAGATTTAATTATGCTATATAATCATCTGTAGTTAAGGGTCAGATTTCCTACTTCTATTTGTTACTGGTTTTTTATTTTTTAAATTTTGACTTGGATTTTTGTAACAATGCTCTCGCGCTCCCTCTGCTGGTCTTGTCAATTAACAGGCCTGGTGCCTAAGGAGTCCCAATTGAACCAGGGAGAGGAGCCCAAGGCTGATTGGATGGGCAGGCTTCGGTGTTGGAAGTCAAACACAAAATCAGGTTCATTTGCCTCCATCGGAAAGAAAGACGTCCAAAAAACATTTGTTGGTAGATGGTTAAAAACAAAGAAGCTCTGATTATTTTCATACCATGAAGAAAGAACATAATGAAATAGACTTTCAGAAACCTTTAAAAAATGTGACTTTCTTAAGGGGACAAGAACAGAACAAAAACACAAACTCCGTTATCTATATTCATTCAAATGCATGTGCATATTTAGTGAAAGGCATGGAAATAAGGCGTCTCGGTTTCGTGCCTCAGTATTTACACACGCGAAGATTAAATGAAAGGTTGTCTAGCTTGGCCGGTGGGACTCTGAGCTCGGATTAGCGATACAGCCATCCGGTGGGTCAGCTTCCCACATCCTGGAGCTCCATTATGGAGTCACAAAGAGAATGACAGACCTCGGCAAACCCCGGGCCTAATCACAGCGCAGAGAAATGACTTTTGGAAGGTACATTACCGAGCAATTAGGGCCCATTTAATAAATTACCCCTTATGGAACACTTTGAACCCTAGTGGTCTGAAGAGGTTAATGCATCTCTCAAAACTGAGTGTTCCTCACTTTCCGGGGGAGCTCCAAGGCCACGGTTAATCCCAACCTTCCTCTCCCCAATGGCCTCTCTCTCTTGAGCCACTGCTGTAGGGTGGCTTCGGGAGCCCACGCTTGCCCTCCCCCGCGTGTCACGTGCTTCGCTTTCTTGCAGCCTCGCTTGGACACGCTGCTCCAGAGGCCCGAGGAAGGTGCTCACGCTAACTTCCTCCTTTGGCTTCCACGCTGCTTGTTTGGGAGCCTTCTTTTTGTCTTATGTATGGAGAGTTCTGACTTGTGGATTGACTTTAAATGTTACATCTGATGCAATATGCTTTCCACTGAAGCTGTTGAGTAGCAATCACTTCTAAACGAATCCAATATTCAAAAGTAGGTTTTAGGATATTATGAAATCTGGTGGGGGGAAATCTAACAGTAGGTATATTTTTGTAGGCTGAAATTAACTACAGTTAGACACTAAAAACATTTAAAATATAACTAGCGAAGAAAAAGCTTTGTTTGAAGCCAGACTATAATTAGACTTTTTAGGTTTATATTTTAATTTAAATTCAACTTGAGTTTTTGGAATGAAATGCTAATGACACACTAAACACTTTTATGTAAAGAAATACTCAAGGAATGGAATTGGAGGAGACAGAAATATCAAAATGTTACTGTGTATTCATAAAGGCTGACATTTCTATAATGTGTCATTGGTCTACTGAAAAGTGTTCTTGTAAATCATGGTCAGAATCGTCGTGATTTCTAGCACATTTATTGAATGGTTATTGTATCCAAGGCTCTGCTGAGAGCCATGGGAGACAAAAAAGACACGTCTTATGGCTTCAAGACACTTATAATTGTAGAGCTAGGGTTAGGAATGTGAAAAATAATAATAGGGCGTGGAATTTTCCAGAGGACAACAGTTTTGTCCATCCAGAAATGATTTGAGGAATTCAGAGAAGGAAGAGGGATCTTTATTCAGGAAGAAATGAATTTCCTTCAAATGGAATTTTCTTAAGCTTTTTGTTAGGCTTTTGATGAGAAAGCTGGAAAATTAGAAAATAAAATACAATGTTCTACATTGAGAAATAATTGTGCACACGTACACACACACATACACACACACAAAATGACATAGTGTTAGAGACCAAAACCAGGGCCTCATGCATGCTAGGCAAGAGCTTCATCACTGAATTACATTCTCCAGTCTTAATGTTATCTTTAATTGTGTCTGTGAGTGTATTTTATGAATATGTTTGGGAGCCAGATTTTCAACACAAAAAGAGGCATCGGTGACCTTTTAGACTACTGTATTTTACTTTGGTGTACACAAGAAAAGAGAGAAAGCCTATTTTCAATTAATGTAATGTGGAAATCGTTTGTTGTTAGCCTGATAATCTCAGTATAAAGTTTTGAAAAGCTAATATAACTATGAAATGCCATGATGTCTTTTCCCAGAATATTTAGTGATTCATTGGATGAGTCATACCTTTTAAACATTTCTTCTCCTTTCTTTATACCTTGAAGATTTTCCATATTGTAAACTACATTTTCTTACAC